TGCATTTGTGATGCGTGTTATATGATATTAGATATATGTTTACACATACATATGGTATGTGACCGAAGAGAATGAACATGTGATTATAAGATCAATGATTACACGTACATTTGGTACGTGACTAAAAGAAAAGATATATGTTCATAAGAGAAAGGATATGAATAAGTAAATTGAACTGTTATGAATGTTAATGCCCATGTTATGTGATAAGAGAGCTAGTGATATAGTTGGCATGCCAAGGGTCGAGGGTTTACTTATGTTCTTCGGGACATATGGACTGTTTACCTCAATGTACTCACATACCTTAAGTTCTCAAATGTATACATGGGCTAATGCAAGGGCTTTAAAGATAATAAATAACTTGTTATGATACTATATATATGCTTTGTTGTGAAATGACATGGATACTCGATGGTGAGTATAAAAAGGTTCAATATATGCTTACATGATAGAAAGAAATTTGTAATAATAATATGAGTACTGATAAGTATATTAATGATATATGTATAAGTATGCATTATGTTATATGAAATGGTTTGTGGTTTTATTATATGTTTTATATGCCTCACTAAGTCAACGACTTAGCGTGTAAGTGATTTACACGTAGGTATGGAGAGGAGTAAAGAGCGATATGGAGTAAGACATGTCAGTTCTCCTTACTCAATGTCAGATCAGAAAAGATGTGATTAATATGTACTTTAATATATAAAGTTCTAGTTGGCATGTATTCAAAAGAATATATTGTATAAACTCTGAATAGTTTTATAAACGTTTTGAATAAGTTGAATGTTATAAAAGTTTTTAAATTACTCAATATTTTATACGAATAAATGTTTGAAAAGTCAAAGTGACACTTCGGACTCGTATCCGGGTCGGATACAGGTTGGGGGTGTTACAATAATCATCCTACAAACTGTCTCCTATCTGTCTTTGCAATTCTTCAGACCATTGTCTTACTTCTGAGTTTAGAACTATTTGATTCGAATACTATTTATCCATTGATGAATGTTTTCCAATGAGACAATTAACTCGAAGATCAATACCTTTAATCCTGTATGATGCCATGCAAATAGTGAAAATAAAAGAAAAAACATAAAAAGAAATGAATTAGTTCAAATAATAAGGAAAAATTTAATTTAATAATAATGTCTACTCAAATATTACTATTTAAACATGCTTTCTACATAGCATACTTTAAATAATACTATAATCTAAATTCACATGCATTTAATCAGAAGGGAAATAAATTAATAAATTAATTAAAAGGCAAAAGTTAGAATTCATTTCTCCTTTGTGTACACCTATTTTGGACAAAATTTCGGCATGGTTTCAGATTGGATGAATTTCTAGGGTTTACTATATGTAGGGTTATGGTTCTATGAGTAAAGGTACTCGAATTATCCTTGTTGGTGCCCCTTGGGCTGCCAAACCCCCAATCCTAGTCCATTACAGACTTAAGCGGAACGAGTTCAATTCGAGGGGATACATTTCTCTATGCCTGACACGGAGAATAAATTCTCACGAAGACATAGAGCATATGAACCCTGAAAGTTACTTGCTAGGTCTAACACAGAGAATAAATTTTCACGAAGACGTCGCTTTCACTCCCACTTAAAAATGGAAAAGAGCTCAAGTATAGAGCTTATGTTTATGCAATGCGAGTGTTGTGTGTGAGGAGAAATTTTCAAACCTTTGACAAATAACCAATAAAAAATAAAGTTAATATATGAAATAAAAAATATTAGTATATCAGGATATATAAAAAGAATTTAAAAATAATAAAAAATTTGAAAGAAAAGAATTATAAATTAAATAAATATTAATTCTCAATTTTTAATTGATAGAGACAATTTATAATTAATTTAGGTTTGACCAGGGTCCCCAGCAGAGTCGTCAAGCTATCGTAACCGGTTTTCGCCCGGGCACGAATATTTACTTGGCGGGAAAAATAAGATGAATAAATAAATGAATTTTATTTTAAAATATGTTTTGGGAGTCGCCATCGACCTTTTTGGATTAGGTAGGTCAAATACCTGAAAATAATCTTTTAAAAGAGTTTTTAGGAAAACATAATTTAAAAGATAAACATGTCTGCGTATAACCAAAAATTCATTTATTTTAGTAATAAAAGGGATTCGTGGTCGGTTACGTTTAGGGAAGGATTAGCACCCTTATAACTCCCAATATTGGTACCCATTAATTATAAATTTTCTCTATTATTGGAAATTTAAGAATTCAAACATATTTAATTTATAATCATGTTATTTCAAATTCATTAGTATAATTCCAAGAAAATATATTAATTTTTAATATATATATATATATATATATATAGATTTTTATAAATAAGATATTTATTTACTTAAGAATATCAGAAAATGATATTTAGTTGCTTTAAGACAGCCACTTTCTTAATATTAAAAAATAAATGAATATTAATAAAACATTTTCCTAAAAATAATTTAAAAATAATTTAAACAAAATAAAATTAAATATATATAATTTATAAAAGTAGGATATTTATTTAAAAATATCAGAAAAGGACATCTAGTTGCTTTAAGACAATCACTTTCTTAATATTAAAAAATAAATATTATTATTTAATATATATTTATTTATGACTACAAAAATAAAATAAAATAAAAATTATTAAATTATTAAATTATTAAATTAAATATATTGAACATAAAAAATAATAAAAAAATAAATTACAATTGAATAATAAAAAAAATAAATTTAAAATTATAGAATCAAAATATAAAGTATTAAAATTAGGGATACTATTTCGAAATATTATGATAAATAATGGTTAACAGTGTAATTTAACCTAATTAAATATTCGGGATTAATATATTAATTATTAAATTTACAGTGGCTAAATCGGTCATTTTACCTAAAATATATAAAAGCATACCAGGGACTAAATTATAAAGTAAAAAGAATTAAAAGATCGAATTAAAATGCTCAAAAATTGATTTAAGTGACTAAAATGTAAGGATACAAAACTATTGGTGCTACGAAAAGGGTTTGCCCATACTCATAAATTACGCATATACCCATACCCAAAACGATGCCGTTTGGGAGGGGTATATAAACCCCAAATAGCCGACCCTTCAGGCCATTCTTCTCATTTCTTCTCTTCTCATTCTCTCCCCACTCTCTAGGATTCCCTCGCTGGAGGGAATCCGGTCAACGCCGGCAGCCACACACCGCCGTCGATGGCCGAAAATCATAAAATTTCCCCAAATGATAGATCTGAGCGATCTAAACCCAAATCCGACCCCCGTTTATCCTAAAAAGCCATGGATTTTCGCGTATGGGCGCGTAGAGACCTCGGTGGCAACGCAGCTTCCTCGGTGAGTCTTTCTCTATTTTTTGGTTATGATATTTAGTGATTTTGGTTGTTGTTGGTTCTCTCCTCCTTTCTATTTTTTTAGATTCGGTGGTGGCTTTATAGGCCACCATGGTGCTTGCTTCGGACCGGATAATAGAGCATCATTCGGTGAGTCACAAAACCTAAAGTGGTGACTCACCCTAAAGCCATAACGTGGACAGTCTCCTTGGATTCCTGTTGAAACGGCTGGGCGTGGAATGACAGTTGGCTGAGACGAGGAGCGGTGGTGACCGGCGTAGTCCCTAGGGTATCATAACCCTAGGGTTCCTTCTGGGGCATCTGTGGACCGTTGGTAGATGTGGGTATACGGGCTACCCGCCCGTTTAGTCCGCGGGTTTTGACGGTGCGGGCTTAAACGGAGCGGTTTAAAAAGCCCGCAATCATAAACGGTTTTGTATTTTAAGGCCCATGGCCCGTCCGTTAAATAAAAATAATTTTAAATGCTTTAAATGCAATAAAAAAATAATGTTCTAACTTGCTACACCTTTAAAAATGATCTAGTAACTTAAAAAGGAAGGTAACACCGTCAAAATAATAAATAATATTTAAATTTTATTTTAAATAGTCGGAAATGATTATAAAATAATATTTTTTTAATTTTTAATCATTAATATATATAACGATATAATTACTTAAACTCAAATTAAAAAAACAATATTCACTTATATCATCAAATTGAAAAACAAATAAAACAATAACCACATTATACTTTTATAAAACACGATTATTCAAGACTATAATATGAAGACACAGAAGTGTCTGCAAGCAGAAATTCAAATAGAAAAATTCAACAAAGTCAAACATTATACAAATCTAATAATTTTTCTTTTGTAAAAGCCTTTAAAAGTTGAAAAGTATGTTTTCAATTTTTTCTTTTACTTTTCTTTCTTATTTTTAATCCAAATATTACGTGTCATGTGATATATTATTATAATATCACGTGACTTTTTATAATTAAAGAACAAAATGGATAACATACTTTATGAAAAAAATAAAGGTCAAAATTAAATAAAAAAATATTTAAATACCAAAGTGATAATGATGTAAATTTTATAAGACTAAAATATTATATAAATCTTTTAACTTTTATTTTTTAAAATGAAGAATAATTTGATACATTGTAAATGAAAAAAAATATCAAACAACGGTAGAATTATGACAAATGCCCTAATAAATTTAAGAACTACAATGGTTATAAGTAACATCATATTTATATGTAATTTATTTTCTTTTTCTATAAAATTCTTTAAGTTTATTTTCTCTAAAATTTTATAAATTTTAAATTAAGCGGACTATTGCGGGCTTCGCGGGCTACCCACGGTTATACCCATTAAACCCGCGGGTTTAACGGTTCGGGCTAAAAAGCCCGCAATTTAAACGAGTTTCAGTTTTTGATGTCCAAAATCCGCACGGGCCGCGGGTTAAACGGGTAGCTCGCGGGCCTTAGCCCATATAACCACCTCTAACCGTTGGATCTCATCAGATCCAACGGTCTCTGGTTGATGGCGGCTGGAGCTGAGATGCAAATCCTAAATGGATTTAGGGTTACACATTTGGGCCGATTTGGGTTTCTGGGTTATGTAACTGGGCCGGGTTCTGGTTTGGGCCTGTAAAAAAATTATTTAATAATAATAATAATAATAATAAATGAAAAAATATATTGTCTACACCGAGGTATTGACCAAGGTCTGTCGAGAGTTGGAAACCCAGAGAATTACAAATCGTAGAGGCCTCATCCTCCCTCATATTGGCAGAGAAGAAGATTCCCGTTTTCGCTGAATTAACTTTATGACCTGAGAATCAGCTGATCTGATCAAGAATCTCTCTCATTAGATTGGCTTGACCGAGATTAACTTTGCAAAAAAGGATCAAGTCGTCAGCAAAAAACAAATGCGAAAGAGGAGGAGAACCACGAGACATGATCAAGGGCTCCAAAAGGTTGACATCCATAGCTTAATGGATACTTTGACCTAAATGTTCTATACAAAGAACGAAAAGGTAAGAGGAAAGAGGACATCCTTGACGAATTCCTCTTGTAGGTTTAAACTGATCTGAAAGAGAATCGTTCCACTGAATCTACATAGTGGAGGTGGTAATGGCTTCCATAATGATGCGATGTATGGTGGACGGGCACCCGATGTCAACAAGAGAATCAGACAGAAAGTGTCATCCAACTCGGTCATAGGCCTTTTTCTAAATACACCTTCACCGTCTTCCATTTGGTTAGACCTTTTTTCCTTCGCATGGAATGAATCGCTTCTTGCACCACCAGAATAATATCGGTTATGTTTCTTCCTGCAATAAAACTCGCTTGGTTTTGAGCAATTAAATTAGGGAAGATAACCCTAATACGATTAGCAATAATCTTCATTAACAACTTGTAAAGCACGCTACACAAATTAATCGGGTGCAAATAAGAGAGATTCAAGATGCTCAACTTCTTTCTTGAGAGTGCACATCTATGATAGAACTTGGTGTTACGATCTCCTTCGTTTATCCAAGCACATCTCGATTTTTGAATCCAGAGTAATTCCTCATGGTCAAGAAGCTCCTCAAGTTGGGTTTGGATTTGAAACTCCTCAGCGAGGGTCAAGTCATCAACTTTCCTATAAAGCCTCTCTTGGATCCTGGCAAGCTGAGCTTTAAGCTTTTTTTTCCTCCTTGAAAATGTTACCGTAAACATCCCCGTTCTAAATAGAAAGGATATTAGAGAAATTATATGGAGTGCATCGAAGCGCCAATTCTCATGAACAAAATCATTGAATTTAGGGTACTTTGTCCAGCTAGCCAGAAATCAAAAGGGCTGCGGTCTTCGCTGCAAAGGGGAACCCGCCGAAAGGCACAAAATGGGTCAATGATCGGATTTGATGCGCTGGAGGTGTTGCATGTACGCTGCAAAGGGGAACCCGCCGAAAGGAGCAAAATAGGTGGATAATTGGATTCACTGAACGCTATATTCGTTTACGCCCATAACGCCAAAATAAACTCTAATTTTGTCTGTAAAGTGTTAGAAGGATGCTCAAATTCATATCTCTTCATTTTGACTCTAATTTCGGTGCTGGCAGACAAGCTGTTCAAGACAGTATGTATTCATAACGAAAGCAGTTGTAAAGAGATTGTCTTTGCAGACACCACACAGGTTATATATCAATACAAATTTCATCAAATGATATGATAAATTACTCGGGTTTATCCTTACAAGGGGTAAGCTGGTAAGGCTATAATCTTTAATTTCAAACCAACGTGGAGATGATCTTTAAATAACCTCTACTGAATTGATTCAAATAATACTCTGTAAAGGATATGGCTTTAATCTTCTGTAAGTCCAAGTAATTCCTCGATGAAGCTTTGGACCGACGGGGGCCACCGGTACGATGACGATCCTTCGAGTACGAGTTCGGATGGTGCTTTTTCCTGCAACAAAGGCACTGCTTCCTTTCTCTTATGGTTTAACATGACCTTACGATGAGGTTCATAAACTTCAACATAACTACTCCGAACGCTATCAGCCGTTGACACTTGATCCTTCAAGAACGGTACAACATGCTTTTTCATGTCTTCGTTGGAGATTCCGAGATGACCACCCGAGACATTAATGTAGTGGACCTTTCCTGCGTCGTCCAAGGCTTTTAACCCGATCCAGTCCTCGGTGTAAAGCTTTGTCTGCATCGGTAACGGTAAGTAATTATCGACTAGAAACTGCATGAACAGATTGTAAAACATTGATCTGACCACAAGTTGTTGCTAGCCTAGATATATGTATCAGGTGTAGGTCGAATTCATACATCAACACATAATTCAGTTTCTGCATGGACAAATACCGTACATCTTGAGGCCGAATGACAGGCTTGAAGGCCCCATCTGGGTAAAACCCGAACCAAGATGTTTCCTTTGGTATCAAAACAGTGTCATGCTCAAACTGTTCAAGTCGAAGATGAGCCGGATTATAAGATAACTTTGCAGATATTCAGAGAAGCTACTCAATCAAAAGAACAGAAGCCGGCAAGCCGCCAACGGTCCAATCAGTGTTTGGAAAGCTTAAATGCATGTTTTGCAGCTTACCATGATAAGTACCAAGTTTTGCAAGCCAGTGAACCTCTCCTTATAAGTAGAATTCCTTTCATCTGGGAGTTCGTTGTTAAGCTTCGGAAGAAATCGACATTTTTTCAAATAATGAAGTATATCCTGGAAGTTAAGATGTGATTTGAAACTTGACATGATCATGTAAGTTTTAATCAATTGAAACAATATGTAAAGCAGTTAATCATCGTATGCTACTCACGTTTGGCAATTTTAGATAACCACTTGGTGCCAAATGAGCCTGCAAAATGGCAAATCACATACATGAAACTGATAAAACTAACAATGTATTAAACTAATATTGAGAAATTGCATTGTTCATCAAAATCATGAAGAAAGATGAGTGTATGGATTAAAAAGCCTTAGGGAGAAGCAGGTTACTTGGATATAGTCGCTGTATATCTCCGATTTGATTAGCTTATCCGCAATCAGACACAGAAAACCAGACTGCAATACGAAAGCAATACAGCTCCAGATAGGATTAAAGGAGTTTCGCGTTGACTATAGACGGTTATCTACCATGACATCTTATCAATACTACCAGTAAGCAACTAAAAGGGTAGCATGACACTTACACCACACAGAGGAACAGAAGCAGTACCAGCATGAGGCCCTGCTAAAGAGATAAAATTCTTCACCTGTTTTGTCATGCAGAAACAGAAAATCGTCCTGAACATTCAGTTCATATGAAAAAAATAAATCCTAAAACATTCAACACATAGTGAATGAATAGAGCACAAAACATGTAAAAATGTCGGTGAAAAGATTCAGTAAACACATGATCAAGAAGTTAATCTTTCCCTTTTCCATAAACCAACTAGATAATCTTCCCATAAATAGAAGCTCTATCGTAAGCCGGTTCGTACCTGTGGCGCACCATCGCAAAACTCTATAACGCCCCGGGCTATCAAGTTACCCTGTTAAACAAAGTAAATATTTGAGAAAGATAGTCCATGAATGCAAGGCCTCTCAGCATCAAACTATAAAAACAACCAACACGATCAACAAAGCTTTTAGATGCATTTTCGTTTATCTATTTGTTAACTTCTCTGAATTCATTTGACGGATTGAAGATAAGTAGAACCGATGATTGTGAAATCAACCGGATGGGTGAGGTATAAGCACTGACATGTAAGCTCTAAGTTTCTGTTACCAATTCCCCTACTCAATGTGATGATATACTATACAAAAAGATCCTTGCAGATTGTAAATAAAAGTGTGGATTAAGGAAAGAGGAAACAACAATATGTGAATCCTAGCAAAAGCAATGCTATTAAATGGAACTAAAAATGAACAAATGAAGTATTTCTGCATCAATTAGTGAACTGAATTGGAAAAAGCACCTGGGAGAGACCAACTATGTTGTAACCATTACTCAGTTCTTTCATTTGCTTAACCTGTTGATAACAAAATGGAGTTTTGTCAAAGGGAAGATAAACTCCAAACCAACAAATTACCCAGAACAATACATCACCTTCTCACAAACCACGTTTGCCTGCAAACAAGCAACAAAAACTGTTAAAAAGAGGAAACCAGACAATAATAATGGAATCTTTTTCATCATGTAAGAAGTTTTACCTGTTCTTCAAGAGGCATAAACCAAGAATCCCATGTCCCATCTCCAATTTCTCTGCATGAGTGAAAAGGAATATCAAGTCGATATGTTGTAAAAAAGGAAAAGGAAAGTGAAAGAAAAGAAAGCTTAAGACACATACAAACAATATCCTTTAGAACCAGAGAAGTTAGTGAGAAGTTCAGTGAAGCGTTTGACTCCACGATTGGCACACTGATCTCCGATCCCTGCAACAACAACAAAATTAGAGAAAAAACCCAAAAAATTTAAGCTTTGATATAGGAAGACTATGATGGGAAATGAAGAAGACAACAATTACCATGGATAACAACGAAGGGGATCGAATGAGAAAATGGGGTGATCGTAATAAATACAAGAAAGGAGATAAAGGCATTGAATTTAGAGGGAAAAGCCATGGATTCTGAGATAATGATTCTATTTCTTTCTCGTGATTTCTGGGTTTTGGTTGCAGGAGCTCTCGAAGGGAGTTGTTGGTTGAAAGGTTGAAGAAAGGTTGGAGCTTGGAGGCTTCTGATTGGTGAAAATTAAGCGAAAAACACGGACTTGTGAATCCGATGAGACGCAAATATTTGTCACACGTTCAGATTGCTTGTTGAATATATCGATTACTTTAGCTGTTGTAGCTTGTGAATTTAATTCAACCCCTATCTTATCGGGATCAACTTATCATTACTACTGTATTTACTTCCATCGGGATCGTCAATGATTTAGTCAAATTCCATAACATGTCCCTATATTATGTTTTTTTATTGAATCTAATCCTTTTATTTTAAACTTTTTACTTGCCAACGTTCGAAATGTTTACATACCTCGTCCATAAACCCATCTATATATTTTCCCATCGCAAACGTCGCAGTAAAATTCATCATCGGAAGCGTAAGCAATCTTTAGCTGAATTCGATCCGAATGAGAAAAAAGTAAAATGATAATGAATATGATATATAACGAGCTCTCTGATATATATGAGATATTATATATATATCATTTATAATTTTTATGTTTATAATTAATTATTAATTTTTTTATTTACGAAAGTATACAAAATCGAATCAGTTATATATTTTTTTGCGTGTGAAATTTTTTAGGTTAATTTCGCTTTGATTCTAACCTTGATTCTTCAACCTATTTCTCAAGCTTCTCATTCTTTGCATCAAACCAAGAACACTAATCACGATGGGCTGTACCAATAAGGAATCAAAGGCCATTCAGTGTACAATTATTTATCTACAGGATGTGTTCAAGTGGTAAGCAGCTTGATATCGTTTAAGTAAGATCTTAGGTTCAAGTTTTTGTGTATGAAGAAAATCTCCACTGAAGATTCACCCATTAATACTAGATGTACGACCTGAGTCGATCCAAATTAATCAAAACAAAACATTAAAACTAGAGAGAGAAAAAAGTATCCACTCTTTAGCATAATATCATAAAACTTGAATGAGGCAGATAAACCAGAAAGAAGAAGTTCCCAATAACCAAATTAGGTTACAAAGCTTAAAGGTAACAACTTTAGGGGTAGAGATAAAAAAGAAAAAGAAAGGGTTTTCTTTGGTAACTCGATTCAAGCAACTCTCTTGTTTCTCTTTAGAATTTGCATGGATCACGCAAGCGTTTGCACAGATAAAGTGGAGTTCAAGATCAATTTGTTTGGTATAAAATGTAAAATCATTTAGGTTTCTGATATTTCACTCAAAGTCTAAACTGTATTAATTTCCCCCCAAAAAGATAATGGTATTTTCATAATGAATTCGAACTTAACAAGTATAAGACTGCCAAAATTGACAAAAATGAAAAAGAAAACAACCCAAAGTAATATTTTTCTTTTGGCTCTTGTAATTCATATATTGGCCAGCATTTTGCAGAAGACAGCTGATCATATGCGACTTGTGACGGTTGCCAAAACATTTTGGGGCACAATGTTTTGCATTGAAACAAAACAACAGTAAAAAGAAAGAAAGAAGGCAAACGCGTGTTTTTATAGCTTGTAAATGATGATATTTAGCATTGAAGGCTCTTTATTGAGGGTACATGGAGAATCGCTGGCAATCAATTGGCAGAAAATCACTGCTCGAAATGCATTTTATGAGCAAGTAATATCTGAATACAGCAATTTCAAGAAATAAAAAAAAGACAAAAAAGGAAGGAACTGAGCACATGGAATTGGAGGTGGCATCGAGACTTTGAAGAAGAAGACTAACCTGTTCTCATACATATCATACTGTGTAATGTGGGTTCACGTCGATATCCAAACCCCTCAACTTGGCAAACGACTCCACTTTGCCTTTCAGTGTATGGATTTCCATCAATCTGCATATCACGGAGAGAGAGAAAATAGAACTAGTTTCATAAATAGCATAATTCTTTACTATGTGACTCGAACTCGAGCATGCATATGCGTATATCGGGTGAAGTCGAATACCTGGCAATCTCTGCACGCCTTCTTGCTTCTTCTGTCATGACATTGATCTCCCTAAACGTATGCTTATCGGAGAAAATCTTAGCGTCCGCGTTAGTCTGTAGGCCATGGCGTGTTCTCTGTTCAGCAGCTCATTTAGCCTCACGAGCCTCTTTACCGAAGTCATTTTGCGTATTGAATGCGGTTTGAGAATAAATAGTCAAACCCCATATTCAGATCACATGTCAGCTTCAACGGAAACAATTGAAACATAGTGAGGGAACTGTTTTATATTTACTCTTTGGTTAAGCACAAGATCCCAGGCTCTTCCGCTGAGTACATATCGAACGCCAAACTCATGGTTTTCAAAACCGGACCGGTTAGCGAACCAGTCAGTTCACTGGTTTAACCGGTCGAATCGATCCGACCGGTTGAAAAAACTGGACGACGTCATAATTATTTAAAAAATTAAATAAAATACTAAAAATATTTAATAAAAAATAATTTTTTATATCACAAGTCATATTCACAGCAAATCATAACATATATAAGTTAAAAACCATAAAATCAAGTGAAACAAAATGATTCAAATTAACTACAACATAATATTTAAGGTAAAAAATATTAAATAATAAATATAATTATATAACTATAATTAAAAAATAAATATGGGGCTAAAAAATATAACAAAATGATATTGTTTGGTTTAATTTTTTTTAAAACAATCCCACATGGCTAAGAAACATAAAAGAGCATCCAAAAAGTCTAAAGAGAAAAAATATGAGAACAAAACAATCTCACATGGTTAAGAAACATAGAAGAGCATCCCAACTAACTTCTATAAATAATAGAGGTAATTTGACATTCAAAATCATGGAGCCTTTTGGTGAGCATTGAGTGAACTATTATTTCACTTCAATCAAGCTCGAATTTTAGATTTCAATCGAGCTTCTAATTTTTTTTTAGTTCAAGCCTTTTCGAGTTCAAGTTTTAATATTATATTTCGAGTTCGAGTTGAACTTGATAATTTTTAGCTCGTGAGTTTGAGTCGGGTTGAGCTTACTTTTAAAGTTTTCAAGTTCGAGTCGAGCTCAGCAATACTCGAGTTCGACTTAGCTCGTTTAACAAACGATGTCGTTTGGTTTAATTTAAAAAAAACAAAATTGGCGGTTTTTTCCGATTTTTTCGGGTTTTCAACCGGTCCAGTTCGAAAGGTTCAACGGTTCTGGCCGGTTCACTAATAGCGGTTCAACCGGTGCAAATTGAACCGGACTAGGCAGCGGTTCCCGGTTGAATCGGCCGATCCGGTTTTCAAAACAATGGCCAAACTTGATAGGATCAAGCAGTAAATAAGTTAAAATGTTGAAAATCCAAATGACGTCGCACCATCCCCATCCGATAGCTCTGATTCCAACTATTTTCCATGTTACTCCCCGTGGTCTCATGCTGAAGCAAAACATGTGAAATTTCGTGAGATGTTTATGTGGATTCTTGTTTGGTAATCCGCAGAAGGTAGGGAGGAAATGAATAAGACCAGTTTTTAAATAGTATGAAGTTTAGCCTTGAGGAAAATCAATGCACAAAGGATGTTGTTCAGTAGTATCTGCGGCTAACTATCTGATAGTAGGATTAGCCATCAAATTTGGTTAAGTATTAACGGATTCGCTTGAACTTGATTCTGAATTCGATTATGGATCTGATTGTTGTCTCCTTCTCTCCCGAAGCGTCTGTGTGTGAAGTCTTCGAGCTCTGGCTTCGATTTCCGATTCGTACTACACTAATTTGCCTGGGTTTGTCCTGTTCATAAATCAAAAGCAAACAAAAATTATTAATTTTGGCGTACTCTCCGGGCGCCAATTTAACAACTGTCGTTTTGATGTCAAAATAAATTCCTTCTTCTCAATTAATAAATAAAGGAAATAAGTAGTAAAGAGAAGTAATGGTCGATTCTCAGGGACTTAGAAAATTTTAAATTTCTATTTAAATGGTTTAAACCATGCGATAAGTAATAAAAGGGGGTTTTGGTAAAAAAAATAAATAATAAAAAGTGATTTAAAGTAAAAATAAAGAATGTAAAGTTGAAAATGAATATGATAAAAACAACCTCAAGCCTCGCTTTGACTTAATTTCCTTCAGATCATCAAATTAGATTTTCTCTTCGGGATTTACGTCGGTTACTTTGTCTACAAGGGCAATTCTCGTGACTCTTCTTTGTATACCAAATACCCAAGAAAATCTTTGATTCCGACTTCGAAAATTGATATGATCAACATCAATTGTCGTAAATCAATAACCGCTTAAGATTGTGAAGACCGACTCGAATTATTGTTTCAATAACTACTAATTTCGATCTCAATTCCCTCTTGGCAAGGCTATCTTGCCAAGTGTGTTCCTAGGAAGTCGAATGTGCTTTCAATAAGCCGATTCTTCCTCCCACACATTTAATCGAACAATATCTTGACCAAAGTCAATCTTTGATTTTGAAAACTGTTTTGATTTTCAAAAAATAAGCACAGAGATTGAGAGAGATATTCCGAAGTTAGTGTTTTTCAATTCTCACGTTGAAATTAAGTCATCACTTAGCTCTCGGCTTATGAGAAAATTAGCTAAGCATGACAAAAGTCATACTTAGTATGTTTAAAAATAAAACTTAAAATAAAAGAAAAATGAAAACTTGAAAAGAAAATAAATAACTTTATAAAACTAAAGAGAAGAAGAAAGGTAAATTCTGAGTTGTGAATTTAGGCTTACACTAAGAGGGATTTATAGCCTATAAAACCCTAGAGATAAACATAGAAATTAAAATAAAAATATTCCTAGAGATAATTTCAAATGTTTTTTAAACTCAAACTTTAAAATTTTAAAATAAGTCTCATAAGATATCTATGCCCATTCACTTTCTAGAAGGCGCTGACTAGATCTTTTAGAAAACTGTTACTGACTGAACTTTCTAGAAACTATCACGTCAGACTGTGTCATGCTCAGAGTCGTGCCCATATCTCCTTCCGTGACCAAATAATAAAAAAATACAGAATGCACTAATTCTGAAAAGTAAGACTCTGCACGAAAATAAGTATAAAACAACTAAATCAGCAGCAATAAATCCATAAAATCAAAAATTAATGAGCAACTATTATCGATTCAGAACACTCATCAAATGTAAACAAAGCTTGGAACCTGATCAATTTTCAGAGGATCTCCTTGGAGTAAATGGGCATCGGCAGGAATAATATTACCAAGTTTGATGCTGATAATATCTCCAGGAACCAACACCGAAGCATCTTCTTCGCTCCATTTCCCATCACGTAAAACCTTTGCTTTCGGAGCCAATCGAGCCATAAGTGCAGCAGCAGCATTTCCAGCATTGTTTTCCTCAATAAAACTGATTGTTTAGTTGATAACAAGCAGTCCTAGATTACCATACCAAGCAAATCATGGTAATCTGTTGACTTTCCCTGCAACGAAAGAAGGCTTTTAGCAACCGATTCCGAAATCAAAGGTGTATCAGATTTTCACTCGTTTCACAAACGTATCAACTTACCCCTCCATGTGCAGGACCGATGGCCATACGAGCGGCTGCTTCCATTACCCATGATAGAGGGTTCCACATAAATCCCAAGAATTTGAGTATTTTATTTTCCTGAAAGTGAAGAACAAAACTCAGTTTGATTGCATAATTAGGACAAAAGTTACAACAACGACGGCTACAAAATGAAGATTTAATTTACTTTTTTCTCTTCAAGTTTATTGTAACCAAAAAGCTCAAGCCTCGTCTGTACTTCATCAGAAGTTAAACCTTCTTTTGTGCATTTCATGCTTTCAAAAACCTCTTCAACTGGTATGTTTTCCTGAATGAATAACATCAAAGGACAAGTTTATATGAACTAGGACAAGAAATTCAAACGATTTCCGTGTTACATTTCTTCAAACATTCGTCATGCATCAATCAAACACCAATGGTTAACTATCTTACACTATAGATTTACGTTCGAACATACGAAGATTTTAGCATCAGAAGAACTTAATAAAAGCAGGGGGAAGAAAAGAACATGTACCAAATCAACAATCTCCTTGTTCATGGCTTCAAGAGCAACGACTGTCTTTTCCATGTCCATTGCAGTTTCTGTTTTCTCAGCTCCCATCTCTCAAAATCAAATATAGATTATCTGCAAACAAAACAACATTCCATACGATCATTTCACTTCTAAAACAAAAACCCGTTTTTTGAAAAGGGATGGGAAAAAAGGACAAGTACCTAGCAGGGTGACATGAAACCACGAGAAGAAGGAAGCTGGAGGAATGAGAGCGAGGGAGCGATGTTTGTTAAAAGAAGAAATGCGATGGGTTTATATAGAACTTAATTCCATTGAAACAAGATACCTTGCAATCGAGTAGAGCCAAAAACGTGGCTTCTGCAACTCCGTCACCAGTATTTGCATAGCAAAGAAAATTTGGTTGTTTCCAAATATACGAGGGTATGACTTTGAGATGATAATAATTATTGAATTTATGGGCGTCTTTAGCATATATACATTTGCTTTAGCTCATATCGTTTTCGCCATGAGAAGAATATAACTCTTATATAATATTACAATGTTATTAAAATAGTGTTTTTCTTATAATTTTTAAATAAAATAATTGAGAATCGATAAATTAAATATGGATAATTTAAAATTTTATGATTAAACTTTTTTCAATCAATTAATTAAATATGGGTAAATTAAAACTTTATCATTGAACTTTTTTCTCATTCCTATTTTAGTCACTAAAATTATTTAACTCTTATGTAATATTACAATATTATTAAAATAGTGTTTTCTTATAATTTTTAAATAAAATAATAGAGAATGATAAATTAAAACTTGGATAATTTAAAATTTTATCATCAAACTTTTTTCAATCAATAAATTAAATAAAGGAAAATTAAAAATTTATCATTGAATTTTTTCCTCATTCCTATTTTAGTCACTAAAATTATTTAGGGTAAATTATGCATTTAGTACTTAAACTATCAGTTTTTGTCCATTTTAGTACCTAAAATTTCAACTTTTTTCCTCAAAATCAT